CCATGTCATCTCAAGCCACCCCCGCAGTTCCTGTTGTGCCCCCCTTTGTGTGGCCTCAACATCCTGCCACCCTCCGCCTTGTCCCCATCCCCATCCTCTTCTGGACGCCATGATGTCCCCATCCTTGTCCCCTTCCAGCATCTTCTCCCTGTCCCCATCCTTGTCCCCTCCTGGAGACCCTTCCCCATCCCCATCCTCTCATGGAGACCCACAACTGTCACCATCCCCCATCCTTGTCCCCTCCTGGACCTTCCTGTCCCCATCCCTGTCCCCTCCTGGACCTTCCTGTTCCCTGTCCTCGTCTCCTGTCCCTTGTTGGACCCCTTGTCCCCATCCCTGTCCCCTCCTGGACCTTCTTGTCCCCATCCCTGCTCCGTGTCCTCTCCTGGACCACATTGTCCCCATCCTTGTCCCCTCCTGGATGTCCCTGTCCCCACCCGTGATGTGTGTCCTCTCCTGAACCTTCCTGTCCCCATCCCTGCTCCGTGTCCCCTCCTGGTGTGTCCCCTCCTGGACTTCAATGTCCCCATCCTTGTCCCCATCTCTGTCCCCTCCTGGATGTCCCTGTCCCCATCCCTGGTCGGTGTCCCCTCCTGGACCTTCCTGTCCCCCCTCCTCATCCCCTTGCTGGACCCACCCCAATCCCTGTCCCCCAGATGGACCCCTTGTCCTCATCCCTGTCCCCTCCTGGACCTTCCTGTCCCCATCCCTGGTCCGTGTCCCCTCCTGGACCACACTGTCCCCATCCTTGTCCCCATCTTTGTCCCTTCCTGGACTTCCATGTCCCCATCTTTGTCCCCATCTCTGTCCCGTCCTGGATGTCCCTGTCCCCATCCCTGGTTGGTGACCCATCCTGGACCTCCTTGTCCCCATCCTTGTCCACGTCCTTGTCCCCTCCTGGACCTCCTTGTCCCCACCTTTGTCCCCATCCTGGATCTCCTTGTCCCCATCCTTGTCCACGTCCTTGTCCCCTCCTGGACCTTCCTGTCCCCATCCCTGGTCCGTGTCCCCTCCTGGACCACACTGTCCCCATCCTTGTCCCCATCTTTGTCCCTTCCTGGACTTCCATGTCCCCATCTTTGTCCCCATCTCTGTCCCGTCCTGGATGTCCCTGTCCCCATCCCTGGTTGGTGACCCATCCTGGACCTCCTTGTCCCCATCCTTGTCCACGTCCTTGTCCCCTCCTGGACCTCCTTGTCCCCACCTTTGTCCCCATCCTGGATCTCCTTGTCCCCATCCTTGTCCACGTCCTTGTCCCCTCCTGGACCTCCCTGTCCCCACCTTTGTCCCCATCTCTGTCCCCATCCTGGATCTCCTCGTCCCCACTTGGACCCTTGTTCCTGTCCCCTCCTTGTCCCGTGTCCCCATCCCTGGCCCTTCCTGGGGTCCCCACCCCATGTCCTTGTCCCTGTCCCCCCTTTTCCCCCCC